CACGATATAATAATGCTAGCCTGAATTACAGCAGACAAACGAAAGGCAAAAGATAAACTCTACCGTTTTAAAGAAAGGTTTAAACGAAACGAGCGGATGGATTTCAATTACTATTATTTTTCTTTCTTAGTTTTGGCAGAGGAAGTAAAACACCAACAAATAGCTTAATCATTTTATTAATTACAAAATATTGCATCAGAAAAATGTATAGCTAATACCTATTATATTCATATTTGTAATTAACAAGTGGAAAACTCTTAGTACTTTATTAACTCAAGTCTAAAGTAAATATAAAATAAAAGATACAGATGATGAATTTAAATGAACATTCATTAGGCTATAATACAAAAAACAGCAGAGAGAGAGAGAGAGAGAGAGAGAGAGAGAGAGAGAGAGAGAGAGAGAGAGAGAGAGAGAGAGAGAGAGAGAGAGAGAGAGAGATGATGGTGGATATTTGTGGGATTTGTGGAACACTGGGTCCTTTTGTTTCTTTAATCCCGTTTGGACGCGCGCACACACACACACACACACACACACACTCCAATTATTTCAGCATTTTGCAGCGATGTGAAATAATGAAATGTGTTTTTGTACGGCTGTGACGTGTAATCTGTTCTCTGAAACTGAGCCATGAACGCGCATAACAGTTCCAGATCGATCAGACCTTCATCACATCTCTGATCATGAAACTGAGATTCAGTTCTTCTTCTGATGTGTCGAATAAATCTGAAGCTCAGGCCCGTTCTTCATCTCTGAGAATGGTTTAGATGTTTAGAAATAAATAGGACACATCTTTGAACTGAACAAATTCTTTAAATAGCGAATACCAAACGAGTTATGAACAATAATAACATTAATAGAACGTTCGTTCAAAGTTATGGGACTTTTTTTTTCAGTTGGATGTTCGTCTAACGATTTTTAAATGTTACTAGTTTCAGAACGTTCAGAGAACATTCAAAAGTAACATTCCTATAATGTTTGAAGAAACGAAATAGAACGTTCGCCTAACGTTCGAATAACCAGTAAAGCTGACAGTGCGTGTGAAGTCTTTAATGATGTTCTCAAACATGAGCACAACAACAGACACTTAACGTTTCTATTTCAAAAATATTTTAGTTAGATGTTGATAAAATGGAATGTTCCCTTAACGTTCGCATTCGGTTGTTAAAAACTGGATCTTTTGAACGTCCAGATTATAACTTAACGGGAACCTTTGCAAAAATATAGGCTCTATTTTGTAGTGATTTGTTGCGTTGTTGTAATTCAAGTGAGTGTTAGTTTAGATAAATAAATAGAGGAGTAATATAATATGAGCAACAAACACTAACAACACAGTAACTTTAATACTTTATTCAAATAAATTTTATACTTGTAATAATGATCTTGTATTGTGTTTTTTTCTCCATAAACGCAATATATATAACTTCTTGAATCTGAAAGAAGAGAGAGAGAGAGAGAGAGAGAGAGAGAGAGAGAGAGAGAGAGAGAGAGAGAGAGAGAGGGTGGGGGGTGTATGGGGTGGGAGGGGTTTGTTCAGGTCTTGTTCTTCTCTAATTAGCCGCCTCCTCCTCCTCTTCCTCACTTCAACACTATCAGACGGAGACGGAGACACGCGCACCGAGCGACCGAGCGCACCGAACACCCGAACACCCGCACCGGACACCGGACACACCGATCGCTGATCCCCGCTGGATCAGCATCTCACATCAGAACAGAACAAAATAACCCGAAACTAACAGACAACCAGCCTGCGTAATAAATAAAGATCCATTTCAGACAGAAACAGACAGAAGGAGAGAGAGAGAGGGAGTGAGAGAGAGAGAGAGAGAGAGAGAGAGAGAGAGAGAGTGAGACAGGAGAAGAGAGAGAGACAGAGTTTATAGTCATGATGTCCTACATGAAACAGCCTCATTACTCCGTCAACGGCTTGACTCTGTCCGGAACCGGGATGGATCTCCTGCACTCCGCCGTCGGATATCCCAGTAAGTGCTTATTTAACTGCGTTTGATTTTTTTTGGATTTATGCATTTTCCATGTCATAATGCGAATTTATAGATCAGATGTGACATTTAATGGGCGTAAAAAATGATTATTTGAACTGCGCGTAAAAATGATATTTAAACTACGCATACAATTATATTTTAATGCGCGTAAAAATGATATTTAAACTGCGCGTAAAAGTGCTGATCGGCTTATCCTTAATATTTATATTATTTGAATAGTTTAAGAAGCGACCTGGAACTGATACAATTGCTAACAACTTTCATAATTAAGTATTTATGCATATAAATGCGCTTAGAAGCGTGCTGAAAGCGTCATTATATTGAAACATTTTTAATGAATGAGTTAGACTTATAAACATGATTTACACTCCCTTTTGCTTCTCAGAATGATACAAAATATTTTTCGTTTATTAAAGATAGGCTATCATGATTAAATAGAGTTACTGCAATCGAAAATGTATAAAGTTTATAGATTAGGCCTTTATATGAACTTAATTTTAAATTTGCCAGTATATAATTTTTCGAATTAATTTGTTAAAAATCGAATGTTAAGTCAAAGCAACGAATATCCATTCAAATGAGCTGTTAAAATATGAAAATGATAGTGATGAACTAAAATGACACGCATGTGGAAATTCACATCGACAGTTTCAATAGATTTTTTTTTAAATAAAAAAATTGTTTCGATAATTATGACGTAAATGGTATAAATATAAGAAGGCTTGGTTTATTTAGTACAAGTCTGATAATCGTTGAGCCAAATGCGAAATAATTATCATTGTAAACACGGATAAATATAATAATTAATGCTGCTGATTGAGATAATTAATGCGAGTTTACCGTTTAATCAATTGCAGTGAAACCTTTATTAATCCACAGAGTCAGAGATATTATATTATTTCAAGAAAGTAAAAAACAACGCGTCGGTTAATTAATTATCAGGTTTATAGACTAAGTAAAAACATAATATTTATACTACATAAATTCTTTATTTTACAAGTGTAATAAAAAAAATACGATTACAATTATATTTTTGAACAAATTGTGGATAGATAGATAGATAGATAGATAGATAGATAGATAGATAGATAGATGCACATTGAAGACGAGATTTTGAACAGTTGGTGTGTGTGTGTGTGTGTGTGTGTGTGTGTGTGTGTGTGTGTGTGTTTTCAGACACGCCACGCAAACAGCGGCGCGAGAGAACCACGTTCACGCGCGCGCAGCTCGACATCCTCGAGGCGTTGTTCGCCAAGACGCGTTACCCGGATATATTCATGAGGGAAGAGGTCGCGCTCAAGATCAACCTGCCCGAGTCCAGAGTCCAGGTGAGGCCAGAACACACACACACACACACACACACGCGCGCGCGCGCACGCACACACACACACACACACACACACATACACACTATACAAGAAGGTCCCATTAGTTAACTTAAGTTAATGCATTTATTAACATTTGCCAACAATAGGCAAAAATGTGTATATTAATCTTTATTAACATTATTTAATAAAAATACAGCAGTTGATTGTTAGTTCATGTCAGCTCAGTCCCATTAAATAATATTAACAGATACTTTTTTAAATGTAATACTGTATTATTAAATGTTGAAATTAATATTAACTAAGATAAATAGTTGCTTTAAAAGTGTTGTTCATTGTTATTTAATATATTAACTAATCTAGTAACGAATGTTAACAAATGGAACCTTATTGTAAAGTGTCACCTAGTGCTAACATATCAATCACGATAAATCAATATATATATATATATATACATACAGACAGGCACACACACACACACACACAAACACACACACACACACACACAAATGATATAAACAAACTTTTATGTTAGATGTGATTAATTGTGATTAATTGATTTGATGTGTGTGTGTGTGTGTGTCACACACACACACACACACACACACACAGGTTGATCTCAATAGTGCTGTCAAATCAATTGGCGCGAGTAAACGATTAATCATGATGATTAATCAATTAATCACAGTTAATCGATTATTTATGTTTGTTGTTTATTTGTATTTCTGATAGAGAAATACAAATAAACTATATATAGTACTAATATATATAGAATCCTAATATATAGCACTAATATATAGAATCCTATATTAAGGTTAATCCCATCTAAATTGCAATTTAATAGTTTATATATGTGTGTGTGTGCATGCGTTTATGTATATAAGGCCTATACATATATATCAGAAATATAAATAAACAACAAACAAAAATAAATTAAATTTAAAACAACTCAAACCAGCGTCCCAGCGTCCTGTAGCGTAACCCGACTGTGTGTTTTCTGCAGGTGTGGTTTAAGAACCGGCGCGCCAAGTGCCGTCAACAGCAGCAGCAACAGACCAGCGGCCAGACCAAACCCAGACCCCCGAAGAAGAAGTCCTCGCCCGCCCGCGAGCCCAGCGTCAGCGAGGCCAACGCCGGCACCACCTACAGCCCTCCTCCCCCCCCGCCTCCGCCCGGGACCTCCATCACCCCAAGCTCCACCAGCGCCACCGTGTCCATCTGGAGCCCGGCGTCCATCTCTCCGCTGCCGGACCCGCTGTCGGTGTCCGGGACGTGCCTTCAGCGCTCCGGCGGGTACCCCATGACCTACACACAGGCCCCGGCGTACGGGCAAGGCTACGCCACCTCCTCGTCCTACTTCACCGGGCTGGACTGCAGCTCGTACCTGTCCCCCATGCACCCGCAGCTGTCGGCCACCGGGGGCGCTCTCAGCCCCATCACCGGCTCCATGAGCGGCGCTCTCAGCCAATCCCCCGCCTCGCTCTCGTCCCAGGGCTACAGCGCCGCGTCACTGGGCTTCGGCGCCGTCGACTGCCTAGACTACAAAGACCAAACGGCGTCCTGGAAACTGAACTTCAGCGCCGCGGACTGTCTGGACTACAAGGACCAGAACTCCTGGAAGTTCCAGGTCCTGTAGGGCGTTCAGAAGGGAAAGTCCGTGCACTCTTCAAAT